GTGGAAGGTGCAGATCCAAAAATTTTTGAAAAACTCCAAATTTTTCAAAAATGGCTAAATTTAGGTATAGGGAAAGCTGATGAAAACTCCCTTAAAATAACTCGGTTAATCCAAAAACGCAGTAAAAAATATACCTTTCCATTTAAAATAAGAAAGTTGAGACCGACTTCCGGAAGTGCSGCCATCTTGAAAATATTTTCATTTAGGAGGACTTAATGGTTTATGGCTACATACCAATTTTCAAATAAATACGATTATTCCAACTCCCAATACTTCTAAAGTGGGATTTAGACGGAACACCCTGTATTTATTGTAGATTGTACTTTAGTAAATTTTATTGTACCTATTGTATGTTTTTAGATTACTAGGTGGTCGCCAACCTTATTTAATGTCACAAATAAAATTTAATAAAATAAAGAAGTGGATCTTTTTTCGTTTTGACTAGTTTATAATAATAATCATAATACTAATAATAATAATATCACAACATTAAGTTATTACTGCTTTGTTGTTTAGAGTTGACCTACATTTATCTATATACACTGTGTCAATTTTAAAACTTGCAATCGGCAATTTCTCTCAACTGAAAAAGTTATTAATAATCACTAAACACCGTTTTGGTGGCTCCTAAGAGGAATTACAATGACATGATAAGTGACACACACACCTCCAACCACCCTTGAATATAATAAAAAAAATGAAAATTTAATGTCTTCGTTTTTGAATAATTGGAAAAATAACTTTACCAAATAGGCTGTTGTATGACATTTTTGAAAAGCGCTTGTTATGGGCTTTCCAACGATATATCGCAAGTAGGGTTGTGCCATTTAAAATTTTCAACTTGGGGTGGCTGTGGCTTGAAGGGTGGGTGGAGGAGCGTCACTTACCATGCCATTTTGATTCCCCTTAAAAACCACCGAAACGGTTTTGAGTGATTCTCAATAACTTTTTTAGTTCTAGAGATATTGCCGATTGCAAGTTTTAAAATTGACACCCTGTATATAAAGAGGCTTATCCTGACTGACCTATCAACCCACAGCCTYAACCGCTGGAGACAGAAATTTCAAATTTTCACAGTAGATACCTTTTATAACGTAGGCATCCAATAAGAAAGGATTTTTGGAAAATCAACCCCTAAGGGAGTTAAATGGGGTGGTGAATTCGAAGTTTTAAAGCTATAGCCATGAAAATTGGTATTTAGGCTTTCGATTAAAAATAAAAAAATACGTATTTTATCATTTTTGGAAATTTCACCCCCAATGAGGTTGAACAAGGGTAAAAAGTCGTAAAATATTTGTATTTTTTTTTAAAGTTAAATTCATGAAAATTGGCATTTGAGCTCTCAGTTAAAAACAAAAAAACACGTGTTTTAGGATTTTCGAAAATTTCATCCCCAAAGGGGTCAAACAAAGGATGAAAATTTGTATAAATATTTATTAATTCGTCATTTTTGAAGTTACGTTTATGAAAATTGGGATTTAGGCTTTGGGTTAAAAATGAAGAAATACGTGTTTTAAGATTTTTGAAAATTCCACACTCTAGGGGGTTAAACAGGGATGACAATTTGTATTAAAATATGTCATTTATAAAGTTAAATCCTTGAAAATTTGTATTTAGGCTTTCGATTAAAAATTAAGTAATACGTGTTTCAGGATTTTTGGAAATTTCACCCTCAAGGGGGTTGAACAAGGGTAAAACTTCGTAAAATATCCGTGTTTTTTTTTTAAGTTAAATCTATGAAAATTGGTATTTGGGTGTTCAGTTAAAAACAAAATAGCACGTGTTTCAAAATTTTGGAGAATTCTATCCCTAAGGGGGTCAAATAAGGGATGAAGGTTTGAATAAATATGTGTTACAGTTAAACATGGAATGAAAATTTGTATCAAAATTTGTCATTGTTAATCCATGAAATAAGACTTAAAATTTTACGGTTTTTAAATAAGTTATAAAAGACGGACTTTTTATTTTTACTACGAAGTTCATAATAATTATGTGTTGCTATATTTTGTTAGTAAGTTTCTTAGCCCTTCTGCGTTTTGAAATAGTTGTGGATGTCAAACTACCACGCGAGCGAAGCCGCGGGCAACAGCTAGTTATACTATAAAATTATAATGAATACCTAATAAATTTCACTTACTTTATAGTAACTACTAGCATTTCTTTAGGAGAAATAAATTAATAACCTTATTATTGCTTTTTTTCCGAATATACAGTATGTCTCCGGATTGAGTTTACAAGAGGAAAAAAAATCTTTGATTTTTCGCTAAAACTGCAAAGGAATAGTTATTTATGTTACAAGGCCGTGAACTAGGACTTTTTTTATGAGAATGAATATTATTTGGCGAGGCGAAGGCCGAGCCAAATAAGCATTCGAAAAAAAAGATAGTTCACGGCCATGTGGCATACAAAATTTTGTGTGCAACTGTGAGAAATTACCAAAATTAAAGTTTCGATCGAATCTTTACATAAAATTAAATTTAGCAGTGTGCTTTGGTATGGTAACTAGGGCTTGCGTATGCGTTACGTTCGTATTATCTAATAAAAGCTAATTTCATTCAAGATCATGACCCGTAAAAAAAAGTCTTTGTCGGCCGGTTTTTTTACGTTGTCAAGGCTTTATTTTACTATAAACAAATGTGCTATTTCACGTCTCAAAATTAAGCAAAAAAAAGTGACGTTTTTTTGACAGTTGCACAAAAAAATATGTTATTCACAATCACTAATGTAATATGTCGATTACTAACCTCTTAAAGGTTGGAAAACACATCATTAAATCTCATGAGGAGTAGTAATATTACTTCTCTTGGGAGGTAATATGCAGGATAGCCAACCTTAAAATTACAAAAATACCGGAAATTTTTTCTTTCAAATTGACAACTTACGCATAATATTTTGCTAAATTAGTATTCAATTACGTTTGTAGCAGTTTTTTTTATTTCTGGGGGAGTAAACTGCTCCATTTCCACGATTTTAAATCAGATTCACATATTATTTAAATATTTTCTTTGACATTTCTGAAATGTCAAAAATCAAACGCCATTTGGATGGCCTACCACGTTTGGACCTTAACTTTGCTAGAATTTTATTTTACTCAAACTTTGATTGAAAATAATGTGATTGTGAAGAAAATAGCATAAACTTCGGTGGTAATAACATAAGCACTCGGAGTAATGCCATATTTACCATCTCGCTTGTAATAGTACATTACAAGCGAGATGGTAAATATGGTTTGCTTTACCTGAAATAACCAAAATTGTAATTAAATTATTCTGACTCAGTGTTGAAAAGAAAGGTTTATTTTTTTCTTGATTTTAGACTTGTAATTATTTTTCTCTGCTTTTTAAATTCCATTACATTAACGGTTTTATTTTTTTAACAACGATGTCACTTTGAGAAATAAGTTTACGCAAGTTAAATAACAAAAATGTTTCTGAAAAACATAATTTTAATGAATGGCAACTCAAAGAAATAGCTTTAAGATAAAAACAACGTCATTTTTAACAAAAACTATCATTATTCATTATTCAATTGATGAATTAATTGTCAAAATGACATATGTATAGTTGTCAAATAAATAAAACCAATAGGACTTATAAAATAAAGAAAAATTTTAAGCCTAAAGTCAAAAAAAAAGATTTCCTTTTTTCCCTGAAACAGAATAATGAAGTTTTAATTACATATTTGCTCGTTTCAGGTGAAGCAAAAAATGTTTTCCCTTTGCAGTTTTGGCGTAGAATTAAAAATACATTTTTTTCTTGTAAACAATCCGAGGACATACTGTGTTGTAATGAACGTTCTAGCAAAGAATTAAACATAAGTATCTGCGTACATACGGAAGTAATTCATTCTCCAGAAGTTTTTCAAAAAGCTTGTAAAAAGCACTATCTACATTATATTGTTTGTAACAAGGGATGAACTCAGTTATTCCGATTTTTTATGCAATCTTTCTTTGTTTAGTCTTTTTTCTTCGCTAAAGTAGCAGCGCTAGTAATAGAGTTTTATGTCAATTCTTTATGACCACAGAACAACTTTATGACACTTCAAAGCAGTCTGCGGAATTACGGCAACATCGAAAACTTTGCGAAATTTTATGTTATGTACACTTGAGTGCAAAAAAACGCAAATTGTCAAAAACAAAATTGTCAAATTTTTCGGAGACTTATATTGTGTGAAGAAGGTTGTTCCGAAAAAGGTTAGAAAACTATCAAAAGAAATGTCATATTTGATGGTCTTGCCAGTAGTGCAGTGTCATAGTCTGTGTTAAAAACGAAACGGAAAAACATGAGAAATCTTGATAGACGTTTGGAAGATGCCTGACAATTATGAAATTGTGAATTGTGACAAAGACAACGTCAAAAAACTGGCATTTATTAACAGGCCAAATTACATTAAAAAAAAACAATTTGCTTTTTTTTCACTCAAGTGTACCTAAATATTGCTGTGTGTGTCAAATGAATTCCACATAGCGATGATTTATCGCGCGCTATAAATGGTAGCGATATAGCGTCATGTGAAAACGGCCTAAACCGCGGCGCTTCGCCAAATTTCGCCTTGGTAACAAAGCACCTTCCACCTCAGTATCTGATCTACTATAATTATTTATAGCTTGGTTTCTCTCTTTATACCTACATATCTGTAATTATGTACACTATTAAATTACATGACAAAAACAATTGTGAATGTAATTCAGGAAACTAAAACTGTCATTTGGAGAGTTTCATAAGTAAACTACCACTTTTCATTTAATGGTCATGACCTTCAATAAGAAAATACATATATATTTTCCGAAACATCATTACTTGCATTAAAATGAAGGTATTTTTTCTTTTAGTTTGTGTGCTAGTCGCTTGCACTGGTGAAGTACGTTTTTCTCAATAATCGAGAACACGATTAATTAAAAATTTATAGTTAGACAGGAATTTTTTAATTCAGTCTTTCCAAAAAATGAAAAAAGTCAGTGACGAATGTGTTGCTGAAACTCAAGCTACTAGAGGTAATGATAAATAATGATCTTGCGATAAAAAAAACCTTGTACTTAACAGCCACTGATTTGTAGATGATATTAGAAAACTCTTAAATCGGAAAATACCAGATTCACATGAAGGCAAATGCATGATTTTTTGCTTTCACAAATATTTTCACATTGTAGGTAAATCTTGAATTTCTTTAGTTTAATTTAATTGAAATGTTTAAGCAAAATGATGACGGATCTTTGAATAAAATGGATGCTATTTCTTTATTAGAACCCATTAAGCAATTCAATCGGGATATTTATAATAAAGTTGTTAAAATAGTTAATACTTGTTTTGATACAGGTGAAATTTAATTTCGTTTAGGTAAATGAAATTGTATTTAATATTTTTGCAGCTGAAAATAACGATGACTCTTGCATTTATGCTTCAAATTTAGCTGAATGTGCCATCAGTGAAAGTAAATCGGTGAGTGTTTAATGAAAATAGAAAATATAGTACGTTTTAATAATTTGTAGATGGGTTTTATTTTAAATCGGTAAGTGTTAATGAAAATAGAAAAAATAGTACGTCTTAATAATTTCTAGATGGGTTTAAACGACTTGTTGGTGATCGAATAAGAAATAATGCCAATTTGTTCGAAACACAAATCTTATAAATAAATAATCAACTAGCAAACTTGTTTACATGCTTCACTTCCCTTATAAATTCAGTCGAATTGAAAATCCGGTCCTAATACATATTTAAGCAGTGTTCGAGCAATGAACGACAACGCACAACTTTATTCCCGCGTCGGCCAGTTGCAAAAACTAGGCATCATTGAAACTTTCGAAAAATACATCAAACTCATAAAGTTCAAAAATAACATAAAAGTGTTAGACGTTGGATGTGGCGATGGTGGTCTCACTTCAGAGATTCTTGTGCCAAAACTGCCACAAGATTTTCAGGAAATTATCGGAGTGGATATTTCCGAAAAAATGGTGACTTATGCCAAGGAAAAGTTTCAAGCTAATCCAAAATTCGATTTTTTTCAATTTGATATTACCTCTGAAACAATTCCTGAGAAATTTTATGAATATTTCGATAATGTTTTTTCGTTTTATTGCTTTAATTGGATTCCCGAAAGCAAGTGAGTACTTGTTTAAGCTGTATGATTTATTTATTGTAATAAATTGCAGACATCCTCAAGCTTTACAAAATGTACACAAAATGCTAAAACCCGGCGGTTACATTTTTATAGTGATTATTTCAAACAGTCAAGTTTTTGATGTTTACGAAAATATGTCTCACACTGAAAAGTGGTCCCCGTATGTAAAAAATGTGAGGAATACAGCATCGCTGTATCATTTCATCGACAATCCGCAAATGAAGCTGAAAAACTTCCTGAAAAGTGCAGGATTTGATTGCCATTTATGTACTCTAGAAGAGAAGTGTTACACATTTGCGAATTTAACGCACTTTTGGAGTGTGTAAATATTAATTAATTAAATTAAATTAAATTAAATTAATTATTTTTCAGAATGGGCTGTTTCAATTAACCCTTATTTTAAAAAAATTCCTGAAAGTAAATTGAAAATGTATCAAGAAGACTACTTGAATGAATTTAAAAACCACAAAAATGTTTTCATCGAAGTCTCCAATGATGAAGAAAAGATTCGAAAACCATACACCACTCTTGTGGCTTGTGCCTCAAAGCTAGAGAAAGCATAAAAAGTGTTTTCTTCATTTTGTGTAATATTGTAGTGTTGAAATCGTTTTCAAAGTATCTGGAGCTATATTGATAATGTATCAGTTTCATTTGAAATCTGACCTTCACACAAAAACTCAATAATCCATAAATGCATAATCATATTTGTAATTTTAATCGATTTAGCCTTATTTTTTTTAAATTAATTAATATAATCATACTCTGTTATATAGGGTGCTCAAAAGTGAGGCATCAACTCAATGAAAAATGGTAGAAATACAGGCTGTCCCAACGGTTTGAAAAAGCTCTATAACTTGTTTATTTTAAAGAGATATTGACATTTTCTTTTTTTTTTTAGATTATAGTTGCGTTTCTGCTGCACATTTTAAAAATATTGCGGTTTATATATAGGGTGTCCCAATATTAAAAAAACACTAAAGTTATGTTTTTTAAATGGAATCTACTCAGTTTGATTTTATTTTTGGATTCTACGCTAAATTACAAATAACTTTTATAGAGGTTGTTTTCAATTAAATGTTATCAATTTTGATTTGTGGCGCTTTTTTACCAGAATTTTTGAAATGCAGGGGTCTGTCTAAAACTTCGTACCTTCTAAATGCTTGCACACAAGTTAAAGTAAGTAACGCCGTTTGATTCCTGAATGTTTGCCGCATCTTTTAAGTGTTTACTCAACAACCTGCTCAGTGGCATGTGCCCCAATATAAGGTTTGTATTGTCTAGTGTAAAATTCTAAGTTGCTATCCTAAATTAACTAAATTTCGAAAAACTTTTCTGTTTTGAACAATAAAAATCGAGTGGGCTTCTGTCGTTGTTGCAATCTATCAATTTTATTGTGAAGATTATAAGTCCCAAAATGAATTTTACTCGTCAAGAACTCATTAACCCGGTATACAGTCTTGGTGAAGCGGATCGTAATATTGTATTGGCTCAAAGAGTTTACAAATAAAAATACCCAAATGCAAGACTGCCGCAAAGTGCTGCATTTAAAAAATTGTATAAAAATGTGTATAAACTGAGACCAACAACTGCGGAGGATATGAAACAGAGAATACGCAATACATTCCATTTAATAAATGCAGATATGCTAAGTCGTTTTAGACTATCTTTTAGACGAATACTTGTATTGAAGAAAATGGTAATATTTTTGAGCATCTGTTATAAAGAAAATTATAAAATAGCTTTAATGTTTTTTTTTATTTATTAATGTTTTTACATTTTTCTACTAAATTGTGTTAATACTGCTTTGCGATATGTAAGATTTTGCCTAATTTTTTCTGTAACTCAATTGTGCACAATATTGTACATTTTCTTGCAGCGAAGAATTTCCAATTTCATACTTTTGTTTATTTTCTGTGACATTTTTTTTGTGCATAAGGCCCACTCGATTTTTATTGTTCAAAACAGAAAAGTTTTTCGAAATTTAGTTAATTTAGGATAGCAACTTAGAATTTTACACTAGACTATACAAACCTTATATTGGGGCACATGCCACTGAGCAGGTTGTTGAGTAAACACTTAAAAGATACGGCAAACATTCAGGAATCAAACAGCGTTACTTACTTTAACTTGTGTGCAAGCATTTAGAAGGTACGAATTTTTAGACAGACCCCTGCATTTCAAAAATTCTGGTAAAAAAGCGCCACAAAAGAAAAAGTCAATATCTCTTAAAATAAACAAGTTATAGAGCTTTTTCAAACCGTTGGGACAGCCTGTATATTGTGATATAAAAGATAAAAAACCATTAGCTAAAGTTTTTGTTACTCGAAAAATTGCAAACAGTAACTTTTTGCTGAATAAACAGTTAAAAAGATTGAAATAATATGGGAAGCTACATACTGAAAGAAGATGCAAAAACTATTGTCGTTTGTTCATATATGAAACGATTATATACTTGAAGTAAAATATGAAAACTTGAGAAAATAATGTGAATTATAATGTGAATTTAAAACAAAATAAGTTTATATAAAAAAAATCGTTTTCCTAACACCTACTAAAAATTTTATTACTTTTAAGTTAAATGCAGTATTGTTAAGAGTAAACCAGAGGGTAAACAAATCATAAATTCGTGAAACCCACCCGGACCCAGAAACCAAGGAAACGGGTCAGTTTTTAACAGGGCCGGATTTATTTACTTTCTTTTTGTCTAAAATACTTTAATATTTTATAGTTTTTGATGTAGTCAAGTATTTTAAGAAAGTTAAAAAAGCCAGGTGGTTATTAACAAGTTATTATTAAATAAAGCAGATTTTTTTTTAATAATAGCTTAATAATAGCTACCACTACTTTGGTTTTAAATACGGCGCTGTTTTATTCTGGTGGGTGCAGCAACACTTGCAAAGAAACGTGCCATTTATGGAGGGTTACAAATTCAAGCCATTGTTTGGTTAATCTCTTATAATGTGTCATAAAATTTTTAGTAGGTCTTAGGAAAATGATTTTTCTATAGGTTTAGATTTTGTAACTTCAAGAATTTTTCCAACATTTTTGCATATGCTCCTCAACAACATATCACTGAGTTGAAGCACCACTTTTTGAGCGTCCTGTATAAATATTATTATTATTAGCATTTTGCGATCGGGCAGAGACCGAAGCCTGTTATGCCCGCGTTAACAATGATAACGTGCCGATATGTGAAACTTTTGCATTCCCTATTTCAATTACTTATTGCTATCAAGGGAATCGTATTTAGCCTTAAACTGAGTGGATATTACCACACAAAACAACTTCTGCTGGTAAAGCATTCCAAATATCAAAAACTCTATTAGTTATGAAAAATTGCCTTGCTCTTGTACGGAAATTATCCTTGGATAGCTTAAAAGAGTGCCCTCTGGTACGTCTGTCGGGATGCAAAGGGAAAAGGTATCTTATTGTGCGAATAGACATTTTGTATAGAACAGAAGGCTGTTAGCAAATCATCTCTTCTACGTCTTGCCAATAAGGTAGGTAACTTCATAATTTGAAGCCTTCTGTCATAAGGCGGTCTCATAAGACGACCAAAGGGAATTCTCGTGGCGCGACGTTGCACAACTTCCAAGGAATCTATGTCTTTTTAGATCATGGGAGTCCATGCACTGTTTGCGTACTCCAGAATAGGCCTCACATACGTTTTATAAAGTTTGGCAACTACAACAGGTTTTGAACCAGAAAACTTTCTACCAATGAGTTAAATAATTTTGTTTGCCTTTATAATAACATTGGCAGTGTGCACAGACCAGGAAAAGGTGGATGTAATTGTAACACCCAAGTCGAGAATTGAGTCTACCTGAGCTAACTCGTTGTTAGCCATAAAATAAGTGTGCCTTGGATTTTTTGACCCTAAATGTAACACAGAACATTTTTTAACATTAAGCGGAAGCATCCATGTGTCAGACCATTGACACACCGCTGAGATATCTGCTGCAGGGTGGAATAGTTTTCACTAGTATTGTAAATTTTTACATCATCGGCATACATTACACAGCGAGATGACAAAACGTTTTTTAAATCTGCAGTAAACACGATAAAATAGTAGAGGCCCTAAGACGTAACCTTGAGGAACACCACTCAAAACTTGGAAAGAACCACTATAGCCCAGTCAAATTAGACAAATCGGTGGAAAAAAATCCTAGAAAGTTGGAATTTTTTTAAACGCTTTCTTTACACTTGGGTAGACATATATCAAAAGTCCCCGAAGGTGGGGGGCGAGCTCGAAGAGGGGGAGGGGGTTAAAGGTGTCTTTTTTGTTTTTTTGCTTATATCTCGGAAATTATCACTCCTATAGGTTTTTATCTTCTTATCAAAATTAAAGCGTACAGAATGTTCTACAAAAATTCTCCTTTGCATTTTTGTTGTAGGACTAACCGTAAGCCAGTTATAGGGCAGACAAAAAACATCATTTAAAAAAATGTGCTTTATCTGCATTTAAAACAGAATTAGTCTTGTAATTAAAAAAAAAAACTCACAGGAAATTGAATTTACTGTGTCCAATACTTCATTAAAGGAAGGGGGAGTCACGAGGGTCTATAAATACAAACTCATCGTTTATGTAATTTATGCAGAATTTTCTGTAGAAGTCTATTTCTGCATCAAAATTTCCTACAAAAATGGTCCTATTCATTTTTGTCGTAGGACTAACCGTAGGCTTCTAAAGTTTGGAGTCTACATAAAATTGCATTAAAAATCCTTTGAAACACATTTCAATAGTTTATGGTAAGTATTTATATGTGTAGAGCGTTCCCCAACTAAGCTGGTCTGCCTGAAAGGTGACTCGGGTGTAAACATTTAAACGGAGATATAAATAAAAATTATGGATGAAAGAGAGAATCAATCTGTAAGGGGGTTAAATAGGGTGTAAATGTTTAAACAAAGATATAAACATAAAATTCTTTAGAAGTGTAAAGGGGCCCTAAAATCAGATTTTTCGAAAATTAGTTTTTAAGGGAATAAAACGGTGTACACATTTAAAGGGATGTAAAAGCATTAAATTTAGAAAATATGATCCTTAGGAGTGTAGAAGTGCACTTTTCAAATTTTAATGAAATAAAATAGAGTGTAAACGCTTAAAAACAATATTAGAAACATGAAATTTCGAATTTTGAGAGTGCAAAAGTGCACTAAGACGACACTTTATGAAAATCAACATTTAACATTTATCCATAAACATAGCCCATGCGAAAAACGAGACTACTATAGCTGAATCCCATACAAAACATAGCTAGTTATCCAGCTTTACAGAGTACCTAAGCCTATGGAATAGTTTGTTGAACGGGCTTTTTCCCATTTTATATCAAAAACACATGCGAACAAAGTCGCAGGCAAATGCTAGTTCAGCATATAAGGATGACTCAGAAGACTTGATAGACCCTCGTGGCACCTTCTAATAAACTGTTGGATCCAATACATTCAATTTACTGTAAGCTTTATTCAAATCATCTATATTAAATCATCTATTTATTAATATTGTACTGGATAAGACTGTAATTCGATTTTCAATGTTTAAGTTGAAGACGAAGATGCAGCATATGAGAACGACTCGGAAGACCTTATAGACTCTCTAATGCACCCAATAAATTCAATTTGCTTTCAGTTTTTTTTCAAATTAAAAGATTAATTCTGTTTTAAATGCGGATAAAGCACGTTTTTTTAAATGATGTTTTTTGTCAGCCCTATAACTCGCTTACAGTTAGTCCTACAACAAAAATGCAAAAAACCGTTTTCGTAGGAAATTTTGTACACTTTAATTTTGATAAGAAGATAAAAACCTATAGGAGTAATATGTAGTTTCCGAGATATAAGCAAGAAAACAAAAAAGACACCTTTAGCCTCCTCCCCCTCCTCGAGCTCACCCCTCACCTTCTGGAACTTTTGATATATGTTTACCCAAGAATAAAGAAAGCGTTT